TGCGGTGATTGAAATTCACTAATGCCAATGCCAAACCACAGCTTGTCAAACCATGTTTAATTTAACAACACTGTTTTTTTCTACCACTCCACCACGGTGTCAACACCAGCTGAATTTAGCCACACGCGGATTCCGATAGCGGCAATGGAAGCTTCTAAGCGAAATGAATATACCAGACTTTATTGTCCGTACCACTGATCTCAATAATAAATAACGCGTCAATCGAACTGGAACACCCCAATTTTTGGTCAATTTTTGTAAGACCATAACTCAAAATCTAGCAGGCCGATTTTGCTCAAATTTTCAGGAGTGAAAGGATGCTCTAATTGCTATTTAATTTCCAGTTCTTAACAGATTTCCGGCCACCTGCTGAAAAATACAGGGTGGAACATAAGTTGGCGATTTTTGTGCGAAAGTTTGGGTTCACCCCATTCTGCTGGAGGGAGGGTTAAGTAGATTTTTGGTATGCAGTTCAGAAGAGTACCTTAGTACCTCCAGGCGTTTTTGAGATTTTTTGAATATCGCAGCCTACTACGATTTTATCATGAGTTATACGATTTATGTAAAATATAGCTATTGACGTCATTATTTCATTTCGAAACAAACACTTCAAGAATGGCGCATGTGAAAACACACTTAGAACATATTATACAGGGTGATACAAAAATATATAGGGTGTTCTGATAAGAGTTTCCGGATGAGTTCCTCAATTCAAACGAAAAGGAAACATTTAATACTTTATAGCAATAAGTCACATGCGTCCTTATTCTTGAAACACAGGAGCAGCGTTTCCAGGAGAACGAGTGTTCTGTCTCTCAATGGAATGGAAATGATAATATAAGTAACAAAGATGGAACACTCGTTCTCCTGGGATTGCTGCTCCCCTGTTTCAAGAATAAGGACCATGATCGTTTATCTGAAACGCAATATCCAACAAATGGCCACCACGACTTCTCTCACCTCACAAAATTTTTTTGCCAAAATTTTCGATCACATCTGTGCACTTTTCCGGTGGTATCTCACGAATAATACGCCGAAGCTCATCTTTCAACTCTTGAATTGTTGGGGAGATTGTGAACATACGCTTTGCTTTTCATGTAACCCCACAAAAAAAATCTAGTGGCGTTAGATCGCAAGATCTAGGCGGCCAATTGACATCCTCATTTCTTGACTGAAGTTGATCTTCAAACCATGTTTGCAATAAGTCAATGGTTTCAAAAATCAAAATAAAAGCGTATGTGAACAATCCCCATCAAACAATTCAAGAGTTGAAAGATGTGATTCGTAGCATTATTCGTGAAATACCACCGGAAATGTGCACAGATGTGATCAAAAATTTTGGCAAAAGAGTTGTGTGCTGTGAGAGAAGTCACGGTGGCTATTTGTAGGATGTTGTGTTTCACATATCTTTCACTTTCCGCACGTGAATTCCATCATCTTAGACTAACTCAAATATCGCAGATAAATAACGACCTGGAGATAATAGAGGACTGGGGTAACAAAAACCTTGTACAGTTCAACGCGCAGAAAACCCAAGCAGCTCTGTTTTCAAAAAAGACCAGCACCGGTGAGCCAAACATCATGCTATCTGGAAGTGCTGTCACATTACAGAGTCAGTTGAACATCTTGGGGGTTACTGCAGAGACCAACATGTCTTGGCACAGTCACGTGGTAGATATTGCTAAAAGGGCCTCCCAAAAGCTGGGGGTGCTATTTCGTACAAGACATCTGTACACACCAAGCCAATTGCTGACACTCTACAAAGCCCAGATTCGACCTACTATGGAGTACTGCTCACATATATGGAGTGCAGCACCCAAACATACCTTAATGCTTTTGAATACCGTGCAAAAACGAGCTATCAAGCTGATCAATGACCCCGCACTTACTCGTAACTTGGATGGCCTCGAACATCGCAGATCTGTGGGCGATTTATCTCTCTTCTACAGGTACTATCACGGAAAATGCTCTGAAGAGTTGGCACGTATGATTCTACCGAGAGTAGCACCTACCAGGCGAACCTGTCAAACAGACGGTAACCATGAATTTACTGTCAAACTAGAGGCACCAAGAACCTCATTATATCAGAATTCATATCTCTGGAGAACAGCATCGCTGTGGAATAAACTCCCTGCGACGGTTTTCCCTGCAGGCTACAACCTGAACCGTTTCAAGACCAACATACACCGACATTTCCGCGCACTTGCCGCTTCTCGAGCGTGATAGGACATTTCCTTGCGAGTGCGCATATCCGTAAAAAAAAAAATTCGTAAAAAAAAAATATACTTAATTGTTAACGATCATGTTACTTATTGCTATAAAGTATTGAATGTTTCCTAGTTGGCTTTTCGTTTGAATTGAGAAAAACATCCGGAAACTCTTATCAGAACACCCTATATATTTTTGTATCACCCTGTATAATATGTTCTAAGTAGGTTTTCACATGCGCCATTCTTGTAGTGTTTGTTTCGAAAAAAAATAATGACGTCAATAGCTATACTTTACATAAAATCGTATAACTCATGATAAAATCGTAGTCGGCTGCGATATTCAAAAAATCTCAGAAACGTCTCAAGGTACTAAGGTACTCTTCTGAACTCCATGCCAAAAATCTACCTTACCCTCCCTTCAGCAGAATGGGGTGAACTCAAACTTTCGTAAAGAAATCGCCAACTTATGTTTCACCCTGTATCTTTCAGCAGGTGGACGGAGGAAATTAATTAGCAATTAGAGCAACCTTTCACTCCTGAAAATTTAAACAAAATCGGCCTGCTAGATTTTGAGTTATGGTCTTACAAAAAGTGACCAAAAATTGGGGTGTTCGAGTTCGATTGATGCGTAGAAATTCACCTGACTGTCATTCCACCGCTTGCACATTCAAAAACGCGATGGTATTCTGCATACACATTGGTGTTTTTGTTCGCGCGTTGATGTATGTGCGTACATGTTTTCAGACATCCACGTCAGTATGTAAACGCCTTTACACACAACTCCCGGTACCGTTCTTCATTCATACTTTCTCTTATAAAAATTACCAGTTCAGTCTACCCATTCCGATAAATAGCCTCCCCCCCCCCCCCACCGCTCTAAACTGTCACGTCACCACCACCAAAAGCCTCTTTTCCATGCATCCTTCTCTATAGCTCTCACGCGTTTCGCGTTTCTCTACATGCTAATACACGCCCGTCATTCTGATACAACGTGAATCTGCATTCATCCACAAACAAACATCCCTACCATTCAGCTGCTCCCCCTATGAATATAAGCCCAGTTTATTTGTGCTCTTCGATGGACTGCTTTTAATAATTGACATGCTGTCTGGTTCTTGAATTTCTCTCATGGAGACGTCTTTGAATTAGTGATTTTGAGGCTTCAATTCCTAACGCGATCCTTAGTTGCGAAGAATTGAGAGCTCTGTTTTGTCGCCCTGGTAAAAGAACTCTGTTGTCATCCCGGGCCGAAATAATTGTTGGTTTACCACCCGCAATTTCTATTTCACTCCTGAAAATTTGAACAAAATCGGCCTGCTAGATTTTGAGTTATAGCCTTTCAAAAAGTGCCCAAAAATTGGGGTGTTCGAGTTCAATTGACGCGTAGTTTATATGGATAAACAAAGAACGCTTCTAATACTGCTAATTTAGCAAGTCATAATGTGAACAACTGGGACAACTGTGAGCGCGCGCAGTAGATACATTTACTGTGCGTGCGCAAAATATAGAATGAAAATGAAGGATATTTCAAAATTTAGAACAGTTTTTCGAAAGTAAGACACTGTGCAGGCGTTAAGGTATGTTTTCGCTTGTGCGTCTTGCGGTTGCGTCGGGCAGCAGCCGCGAGATGCAGCGGCTGGCGGTGCAGTTGGATGTTTTCACTTGCTGCGTTGTGTAGCAATAATTTTTGATCTTCGTACTAAAAAGAGGAAGAACAAGAAGAAGAAGTAGAGGAGTACCTTAGGGATTTGACAAAAAAACGTACAAAAACTCACGACGACATACAGAGGGATTTCATAATATTTTATTTGAAAACCACATAAATTCGGATGAGACTAAGTTTAGGGCTTTCTTCAGACTAAACTTTGCACAGTTTCAATTTGTATTCCATATTTTTTGCAGTAAACTATAAGAAAAAAACTCTCAACCGCAGAACTGCTGCCGCCAGACTGAGACACGGCTCAGTCGAGACGCAGACCCTTGCGGTCGGATGTCTGGCGGTACCGCTGAGACGCACAAGCGAAAACGGTTATGATAAAACGCATTGAGTCAGTAGGCTGCCGCCGGCGGCTGCTGCCCGACGCAACAGCCAGACGCACAAGCGAAAACATACCTTAAGTCTGTTCCGTAAGTTCCGTTGCACAACTGTTCGTAGAATATTGACCTCAAATTTTCGCACAAGTTTAGCCAATCAAGCAGTATGATTTTTTATCCATTTATTTTTGAGATCAGTGAACTTTCGCGGCCACTACTCAGGCCGCAATTTTGCGGTCGTCACACTTGCCGTGCAAAATGTGTCAAGTCCTTGTCAAATCCATATAGTTTTTCTGTAATTTTTATAGTTGCACAAAAAATAGGGTGCATACCTATGACCGCGAAACTTTTTAGCGTCCTCAAGATTATCTTGCCTCGGCCGCAAGCGGCCTCGGCGATAACTTTTCTCTACGTACGCTAAAAAGGCATTTCGCGGCCTTGGTATACAAATAACTATTAAATGAATTGCCAGTCGCAAGATACCTGCAAAAAAAAATATGTGCATGATGTTTCCTGTTTATGTGTAGAAAATCAAATCGCATTTTCTTCGAGTAATTGAAAATAAATAGAAAACGTGATCATAAAATCCCAAGATAGTGGGTGTTAAAATTTATATGAAAAAATAAATCATTTTCTTTCTAACATTACTTGAAGAACACGCAATTCATTTTTTGCACGTGATTGAGAAACACTCTGTATATAAATAAACATATAATTCTGTTGCTTTTGGTATGAAACACATAATATATTTTTTAGTTGCAGATGCTAGAAAGGCCTGGAAAATTTTGAGACAACAATTTAAACTACAGTTTGAGAGGCTTCCACCGCGAAGGTCAGGAGATCCTGCACCAGAGGATCACGTTAAATGGCCATATTTCAAAAGTTTGTTGTTTCTGAGGGATAATTTTGAGAGACGGCATGCAACTGATAGTTCGGATGACGATAGTCGAGAGTTTGAGGGTGGAGATGATACACAACATGACACAGGGGATGTATTATCTTCTTCTACACAAACTACTACATTTGATGATACTTCACAAACATTTGCAAATGTTTTGACTGTTGAGTTTGTAACTCTCAGAAGTTCAACCAATGAGAAATCAGATAACTTGGACTATCAAGAAAGAAGTGCGCCTACCGACCAAACAGGGCAAGGTTTGCTAGAGATAGAAAAGGAAAAATTAAAAATGTCAACTTTGAATAACAATGATGAAGATGTGCGTTTTTTTGCATCTCTATTACCACATGTAAAAAAGTTATCTCCTGTTGACAAGTTCACTTTTAGAGCTTACGTTGAAAACATGATCACGGAGATGGTTTATGGAGTCAAGAATGGCACAGCAAGTAGTTACATGGAACATCGAAATCCTTCAGCGTCAAATTTTAATCCAACAGTTCCTGCGAGACAAAACATAACTTATGATGGGGACAGATCCTCTATACTGGTGCAAGCTATTCGATCAGCTGGAATCGACAATGATGATTCCTTTATGTGAACACTACAACCTTATTTTTACAGATTTTTACTTAACATTATGTACCTAATACGTTTATATCAATAAATAGCTGTTAAATAATATAAAACCTTAGTGTTAGCATTGCTAGCTAACTGGGCTATTTATGTAGTTTGGTATATACTTTTTGAACTCTCAAGTCTATAATTGTAGATTGCATTTGAAGTCGTTACAGTTTGTTCCAGCCGCTCAAGTACTGCTACCTTTCCAGATATTTTGTGAGTGACTTTGGTTCTAGTTGGTGTCCAAGATTTGCAGGCAACGCAATACCCAGTGAGCAGGCCAACGATTATTCTAATGTCTCCTCTGTTCATGTTAAAAAGTTGTTCAGATCTCTTTGCTGAGATGGATTTTATTCTTTTCGCCTGTCTCAGACCCGGAATGGATCACCAATGAACTTGCATTCGGTCCTTTTGTCATCTGTTCATTTCTTTGGAGTCGTGGCTTTTCGTTATTCCACAAAAAGGCTCTGGACCTTCAACAGTGCCTTGTTTTGCGATACGGTCTGTCTCATCGTTGTCCTCTATGCCTTGGTGTCCTGACACCCACATCAAGGTTACTTTGTTCCTCCCACAGCCAGTTGCTTAGGGATATTTTTACCCTCCCAAACTAGCTGCGAATTGGGCAGTACCTTAGCTTGAAATATTGTGGGCGTTTTACTCATTGCCAAGGAAAGTTTGAAGTTTGGTCTAGTTATTCCCAGACCGACTCCTTCCGTTAGCTTCGAACCATCTGTGTGCCACAATGATGCGTTGTCCGCTTGCGGTATAGCTTTGTGTTCTTCCATGATTGGCATACTTTCACAACCACTTCATATGTAGTGCCTAAGTCCAGTGATGTTATCCACAGGGCCGATCCTAGCAGGTGTGCAGCGCGTGCCCCGCACGCGGGCCGCCAATAAAAAACTCCTGAAAATGAAAATCAACCCCGATCTCCTGATAGCATAAATAGAAAGTTTAGTACACAATCAATGTGTAGGCTTACGCATAATGTTTTAATTCTTTACACATCCATCATAAGATCGCATAATTTTTTATATTTCCTAAATACTTCTGCTTCGTTTTTCAAAATGTTTATTTTTGTTCCCAATTCACCTAATTCTGCTAGAATACTTACTAACCGTCCAACAGAACTAGATGAATACTCCCGTTAACAATATTACCAACTTTTTTGGTATAGTATTTCCAAACTCAATTGGAACAAGGTACCAACTGTTGGCTGACTAGTCACTGAAAATTTCCATGAGAAATGCACTGCCACTAGTCAGGCACCAGTTATAATTTATGTTCACTTTGTTCCAATTAACTTTGAGTCTCATGCAATAACTTTGTTTCGTCCACTCAATAGTTTTAAGTTATTTGTATTAAATTGTTAAGATTGTCCTTCATTGAATTATTTTTGTTTTGTTTATTTTGCCAATTATTTATTGAAGTACATACTTTAAATTTGGAGTAAACTTTTAATCCGCGATTCACCCTTCAGATTATTTTCGCGTTCTTGAATATTTGAGGTCTTTACCTACTTAACGCATTGCCCTCATATATGCGTGGAAGAATCATACGACAATTCGACGTGACGCGTCGGTAATTAAAAACCAGTGCATTTTTGGGAATGGTCGCGATTAGAAGCCCTCCGTTCTCGACCAATTTTACTCGCACTCAACCATACCGCAAATAACTTGTCTGCCGGCCGTGATATTCGCGAACTGTGATCGATCAAGTTCAACCGCAACTCCGCAACTCGCAGCTGTAACTGGATTTGGATTAGGTAAGATCTCAATTGTACCCGTAATTTTGAAACCGCAAAATACAGTCCACTTTTCTCACAGCTGATGCTCAGCTATAGACTAGATTTTGGAAGTCAATTATTATTTAAATATTGAAATTTTACTCCGCATTCCGAAACCTGGTTCAAACACGACAAACTTAGTAGGACTATTTTATTTTTGAGCTAGCCGGAGAATCCCTACTAAGTTAGATTATAACAACGAACGTTATAAGTTGGCGCCACAACGTGTTTTAAATTTTATTTTAATTAATGGCATTTTACCTACCAGGTTTTTTTTGTTTCTGTTTGTTTTGGTAGCACTTTCAGTGTTTTTTTTTTGACTTGATTTTGTAAGCCGGTAACTTGAAGTTTTACTTGTTTTTTTTTTTTTTTTTTAAACTTGAACAGTATTTAAGAAACAAAACAAAGATTTGTTTTTTGGTATCAAGTTATTTTAGTTGGTTCTACATAAGAGAATGAAATTGATACTGCATTTTGGAGTCGTGTGTTGACTTTAGAACCTTATTTTGATTTAGATTGGATGCCGACCTTGGCATTCGCTGATATTTATTTATTTTTTTTAAATTCAAGATAAGCCCACAGGCGCGAATAGATAAATATTATAGATTTTTTTTTATGCATTCTTAATTGATTTATTGGCTCAATTGGCTGCAGGTAGAATCTTGTTTACCCTTGTGGTGGTAGGCATTTATTATTTATTTACGTGTTTTGACTCCAGAAAATGAGACCCCCCAGATAGTCTAGGAAAATTGTCGATTTTCAAAAAAAAAATCCTACCCAAAAGAACTTTTCAGGGATTATACGGAGAGGGTGGGTGATCATAAAACCGAAAATATCAAACATTCACCCCTCTAGCGTTTTGCGTTATAGGGGTCGAAAGTGCGCCATTGGTGATTACTTGGTACCAACTTTTCTCTATAGCTGTTTTTTCTAAAGTTGAAAATAGGCGAACTACCCCTAAAAACAAAAAGGTGGTGGAAAAAAAAATCCATTTATTACAATGTTAATTGCACCTTTTTATATGCACTAAAGGCGAGAAAAGAAAAAAAAAATTAATATATACCCCTAAAAACTAAAATTTCCCTAAGGGAAGTGTCCCCCCGCTGGGGTGAGTTACAAAAAAAGTTGATTGGGAAAAATTGTAGGAAATGTAATCTTATAGAACTTTTATTAGCATTTTTTTTTTGTAAAAAAATAAATTAACTTTAAACTACCCCTATTGAAAAACGGCAGGGGTGAGTAAAAACTTCATTAAGCAAAAATGTTGTATGCATTGTGATTGCGGAAAATTTTTTCACATTTGTTAAAATTTTTCATTTTCATTATAAAATTTCAAACGGCCCTTATGACCACAGACGGCCCTTAATCAAAAAAGTCTTTAGATAAACATTGTAGATCAAATAATGTTGCACATCTTTTATTTAAAACATTTTTTTGTAAAATCAATAGGTACCAAGTAATCGCCAATGGCGCACTCTCAACCCCTATAGCGCAAAACGCCAGAGGGGTGAATGTTTGATATTTTCGGTTTTATGATCATCCACCCTATCATCCCTGAAAAGTTCATTTGGGTAGGATTTTTTTTTTTGCAATGCATGTATTTTTCGACTATTTCCCTAGACTTTAATTTTTTTTAATTTTTTTTTTGTTTTTTGCTGAAGTGGCTTGAAGAAGCAAACCATATATAAGTACCTAGTTGCTTTATTTTCTCTGGTCTTTTTTTTTTTTGGTTCCGCTCTTGAACATTATTGAGAATTTCTTGTTTTTAAAATAGCAGTGTTTACTATTTTCAAATTTTCAAAATGCCTTTCAAACTGGATGTTGATAGACTTGTTAAGGATGAGTTGGTTTATGAGCTCAAGATAAGAGGTATAGCTGAGTCTGATAATGTTGACGCTTTAAGAAAGAGTCTGAGAAGTGCTCTCCCTATTGAAAAAGATTCTTCTTTTGTTTTTCATTTGCCTTCGGTAGAAAGTAACTTGGATGAGTTGGTCATCTGTGAGGCGAAGCTAAAAGACATTTCAAGTGTATTATCAACCTTTTCTGGTTCTACATCTCAGGTTAGGAAGATTGAAACAAAGATCTGTCACATAAACGATAGGCTTCATCGCTTTAGAAGAGAATGATGAACTTGATTGCCGAATATAGTAAAGTTGGATCCTTGCAGCATCCACAGATAGCGCAACAACAAAACAGTCCTGCAGATCTAAACTTTTCTGTATCCGGGTCTGGAAATGTTACTCCAATTATTCCAGTACACACCTCTTCACCTAATCAGCCTTCGACCTCAAACAGCTGTGCTGTTAATCAAGTGTTTTCCAGTATTCAAAGTGTTCCTGTTTACAAATGGCAAATTAAATTTTCTGGTAAACCTTCTGAAAGCTTCAATGCTTTCCTGGAGGAGGTGGATGAGCATTGCCGTAGCAGATGCGTGGATAAGGTACAGCTTTTTGCATCTGCAAGAGATTTGTTTGCAGGGGATGCGTTGCGGTTATACAGCTGGTTTGGTTGCTTTGATGAAGGATGAATATATTCCGTCGGCTGACAAACTGTGGCAGCAAATTCTTGCACGGACTCAGGGGGAATCTGAATCAGTTTGTTTGTACGTGGCTATCATGATTGGTTTATTTGATCGTATGCCCACTCCAGTAACCGATTCTTTGCGATTGCAGGTATTGCGTAAAAATATTCTTCCGTTCTTTCAGGAACGCTTAGCATTAACTGAGATTAAAACGCCCTTCGAATTGATCGAACTATGTAGGAAGTTAAAAATAGCTCGCGATTCAGTTAGCTCTTTCAAACCACCGAACCTTTCATCTTTGTCTTTAGAACCAGATTTGGTGTATGTAGGTTTACCGCGCAGAGCTGGAAATAGGCTCGATGAAATTAATGTCCACGAACTTGTTTGTTGGCGTTGCAGAGAACGTGGTCATGTTGTGAAGGATTGCAGCAGACCGAAGCATGATTTTCAGTGCTACAGTTGTGGTCGTGCTGGTTTCACAAAAGCCACATGCCCAACGTGTAATAAAGGTTCGCGATCACATAATAACGCGCAATGACACTTCTAGAGAAACTTGGCAACGCAATAGACAAAGCTATGACAATAATCGGCACAACAATAACAACCGTCGCGACAACGCACCCACGAATTTGGGAAACGGTCAGCAGAGGCGGTAGGCGACCGAACTTTTGTC